CTGCATTTCCAGGATAAAATAAGTTAATTTAATACTATTTTTTAAATCTATGAATTCAATGTTATTAACAAGACAATAAAAGGTTATTTGCTAGTGGTGTAAACAAAATGGTCTTAAATAAAAAACAAATCATTAAAATGAGATTAAATTCTTTCTTTGACTTTTTTTTATATATTAACAAAGCCAATTAAATTATATCTAAAAATTTTACTATAATTTAGAGCCTTTATAGCAATACCATTTATTAATAAATTATTAATAATCATCTTTTAATAAGGAATGAAATAAATTATAAAATTATATTAAAAATATTAATAATTAAAAGAAAAAAAAAGTGTATCTTAATTAATTTATCGTTTTTTCTATATCACCTTTAATTTATTAAACCTGATTGAATTGACTTATTCTGTTTTAAATTATGATTATGATTATGATTATGATTTGTGTACTTGGCATTTTTATTTATATTGGTGTTTCGTCGGATAGAGAATTCATGAATATATCTTCTGTTTAATTCAAAGGAATTTGATTAACTTTTTATGAGTTGTTATCTTTCATTCAGACTATAAATAATTTGACAAAATTTACTTGTATCATATGATTAGGTAGCTATATTCGCATAAAGTAATTAATGAACGTTTTGCGAATCTATATTTTAGACAACAATTAAATAATTGTTGCAGAAATTTCTATTATTCGTTTTTTTAAAGCTATACTGCCTTATTATTAAACTTTTCTATTAGATACATGGCTATCAAATAAAAATGAACAAAAGTTTTGAAAAAGCCATCATCGCTTCCAAAATTAATTTTACTCTTTAAATTTACTCTATATCAGCTATTCTTGCTGAACCCCATGCTTTTTTTATATTTTTTAATTATCTCTTCTAATTTCTCTTTATCAGATTTTATCATATTTTTTTTATCTTAGAATTTTTTTATTATTGATTATTTTTTTCTTCTTGCATTTGATCTGAAGGATTATTTTTATTCTGTTATAGTAAGTCATCAAAATTTTAATTAATTGATATAGTGGTTTGTTTTATATCCTGTTCTTTTTTTATGATCTCTTTTAATTTCCCATCAGGATTTTTTAAAACTTTCCATCCTTTTTCTATTTCTAATCTGATTATTTTCTTGAAACTCATCTACTTGACTTCTTTTAATGTTTCTTAGAAGATTTTATCCTTTTTTTTATAGTTTATTTAGAGCTTATAAATTTTAATTTAGTTCAATTATTTAATCCTCCTTTTATTTTAGTTATTCTTCTTTTTGTGTATCAATTACTTCTTATCTTTGATATCCTATGTTTTTTTTCTAAAGAAATTATTAATATTAATCAGTTAATTTCATATTCCAAATTTAATATTTTCTCTAATTTTTCACCAATATCTAGTTGATATTACTCGTTTTTATCTTCCTATTTTTCTTTATTATATTTTTATTACTTATTTTCATATTCAGCTAGATTCAATTATTTTTCAAGTTCTGACCTTTTTTAAAGAACATCATGTTCATTATCGATTACAAATTCTGATATTAAGTTATTAGTAAATCTAAATTATTAGCAACATCTTTTTAATATTTCTCTCTAATTTATCTTCAATCTACTATAATAGTTCTTAATAATCCTATAAAACTATCTAAGCTTATTTACATTAAATTGAAAATCTTTGCTGTTGATATTTAAATTCTTATTCTTACTATTCTAATTATCAATTTGCAAACTTTTTTTTCTCTTAAATAATTTTTCATAAGGATATTGTGCATATCGATTAAGGTATCTAAAGGACGGCTTTTAATGTTATTTTCCTTGCAATTGGATTTATATAAATAATTTTTTTTCTGTGCTTAATTTCTTATAAACAATATATAAATTCTATTAGTATAGACAGACACCTTTAATTTAAGAAAAGATAAGAAAAAAAATATGAATGGTTGCTTATTATTTAAGAAAAAATGTAATTTTAAAATTATTGTGATAATATTCAATTAAATATTCTAGATTTGTAAGATTTTAATTATGTATAAATATTTCATTTGTACCTAATTAAGTCAAGGAGTATTAATAGAAAGTGAGTATGACCTATTTCTAAAGATTAAAGTTTGACACTTAAAGCTGTAATTTATAGAAATTTGCAGCAATTTTAATTGTGTCTCTGTATTTAAGTCATCAATTATGTTTAAATATGAATAAAAGCCAATCCTTCAATTAACCTCCTTTTTCCATTTTGGTAAATAAAAATAATTTTATTTTCTACTTTCTAGTTCATTATTTAATATTATTATGTTCTCTCTCTCAAAAATATTTATCAATTTATTATCAATCAATAATCAACTTTTTATCAATTAAATTACTCTATGATTTTATTTCCACATAATCTATAAATAGCTACTTTATTAAGTTTGGTAAGAAAAAAGAAAGATATAAATATATTTTAATTTATTTATTTATTTTCTTTTTTTCAAATTTTAATGTTGATAAATATTAATGATTTATTGATTAAACGTGTTGATATTTATTTTATATTTAAATAATATATTTTAAAATTTTCTGAATTTATCTATTCATTTAATATAAATTACAACTTTTTTCTGTCCTTTCATAAATATTTTAATTAATTTTAAATTGATTTTTTATTGAATGACTTAATAGAAATGATTTACTTTAATTTAGTGTTATTTAGAATATA